AATAAATAATTATTATCTTTATAAAAAAATTATATTATTAAACCAAATATAAATTACTTATTGTACATAAATTAAATTATAAAAAATTTGAATTAAAAAATTACACAAAAAATGAGGAATTTCAAATAGTTAATTTGATACTAATATCGATATACTTTTGTCAAATTTTTATGAAATATTCAAACATATATTTTATTTAAAAATAAAAACATTATCGCAATCTCAAAATCATATAAAGCCATATTATAACATCGACTGAGATAAAGAATAAAATGAAATATTAAAATCACGATGTATCTCGCTACATTGCGCGAGTACCCTTCTAGTATTATTTTATAGGACTTAAGTTTATAAAACTAAACATTTGTGTGTTTTTATCTAAAGATGTTATAACAAGTTTATATGATGTTTTAAAAAGCTGTTTAGAATACTTTTGAAACAAAATGTTAAATTAGTTATTTTTGAGTACATTATTTAAAAAAATGTCTTATAAAACAAGTATCCTATAAGAATATTTGTTTATTAAGACAATTTCTAATAATATCATATAAAATAACTAATAAGACATTTTGTACCATAAATATTTTAAAAAGCTTGTTATGATATAAAAACGTTACAGTGATTATGAATATGTGACATAAATGTTACAAGCAGTTGACTAATTGACAAGTCAAAGCAGTTGACTAGTCAATTTCTTTAGCACTTAACCTTCAAACAACAGCAAAACCCCTGGCTCTCTCCATAACAATATTTGAAGTGAAAGCAAAGAAAACTCAACCTTCATCATCAACTACAATACTCCCTTACTGTCTCCTCTCATTTCCATGATCACCATGGAAACCCAAACCCTACCGGAAAACCACCCCCCACCACCACCACCACCCGCCGTGGACTACAGCTCCAATGTAGACACCTCCCGTACGTTCCGCTCCGTGAAAGAAGCCGTAGCCGTCTTCGGGGAGCGGTTTCTCACCGGAGAAATCTTCTTACCAACGCCTAAACCCCCATTTACTTTACCCAAACATGAAACCCCACCGTGGAAATCTGCACATAGCCCCCAAACTTCATGGAAATCATGCTCGTCTTCCCGAGAAAGCCAAGAAGAATCATCGTCGTTTCTGGTTGCTTCCATGAAAAAGATTCAGTCGGAACTCGAAGAAACAAAGAAAGAGTTGAAGTTACTGAAAGAGAGAGAGTCCGAGACGGAGGTGGCGTTGGCTTCTTTAAACGCCGAGCTCCACAAGAACATGTCAAAGATCACGAAATCTGATCAGGCGGCAGAGAATGTAGCGGCGTTGAGATCGTCGTCAGGGTTGGATCTGGTGGTAAGCGGCGGTGGACGGAGGAAGACGGTGGAGAGGAAAATGGTGAAGAAAAAGCCTTTGATTCCTCTACTGAGAGACTTATTTTCAAAGAAAAAGAGAAAATCAAATGCTCCATTTGTAAATCCAGTCTACACATCTTCTCGGATGCATTGGATTTCAAAACTAGGGTTTACGTGATTACATTTTCATGCATGCATCATCTTAAGAGTGAATTTCATAAATCGTTTTATAATTGAAGTTTTCTGGGTACTTGTTATACGAGAAAAGGTTGTGATAAGAAACGTTCAATTTTTAGCGTATGAGTTATGATAAAAGTTTGTGATGGTTGAGTTTCTGCACATCATATTGATATATTTATTTTTGATACTAATATTGATATATTTATTTTTGAAATTTTATAATATCTTCTAATTTATATCTTATTTTAAAAATTAAAAATTTCCAACACCACATAAACACCGTATTAAAACATCTACAGAGACAGAATAAAACGAAACATTAAAATCGAAGTATATTTCATTATATTGCACGAGTACCCTTGTAATATTATATTGTTATTTATTTGCACCAATTATTGATGTTGAGAGGCCAGTCAAATCGTATTCTCTTAACATCAAGAATATGGGTATGAGCTCAACCACTTTGATGTTTGGTGGCAAAGTCCCATCATCGACCACTATCGATATCTTTGTCCACACAAAAACCCATTAAGAATTTTTGTATTGGAAGATTCGAGATCAATCAAAAAAAATTCCTGAATTACAAGTTGTTTGAATAATAATACCGAGTTTGAAATAAAATCAAGAATTATATTGACATGTGACATGATGGGTAGTTTGCTAATTCTCGTACGAAGCACGATTGATTGTCTAAACCCGGCTAATGTCTAGAAGTGCCTATATAAAACATGGTAATACGGGTCACGTTTCGAGGCATGTAGATTATCAAGTTGTGACATGCATGTATAAGAAAAATCACTATCTTGAAAGAGAAATAATCCATAAAGCCATTTGTTTTTCTAAGAACTTAAAATGTTATTTTTTAATCCTTAAAATGTAGTCGTAATATTTTTTTAAATTATATAGAAATCCATTAAGATCTTCTAAAGATTTATTTATGATGATTTTAACACACACACACATATATATATATATATATATATATAGGTGGAGGTATAAACGATAACATCTTCATTTTATGAGAACATCCTTATAACATGTGATAATACGCGTGAGGGGACCATGTAATGTGCGGACGACGTGTTCTACGACTTAGGCAGCGTCAAAGGTTGTTTGCGTCTATGATTTAGTATCGCATGTAATGGTCTTGATGGATTATAATATCATATCAACAACACTCTTATCACATGTGATAGTACTTGTGAAGGGGCTTGGTGGTGTAAAGGCGACTTGGTCCGCAACCAAGATCGCATCGAAAATCGCTCGCGACTCTGATTTAGTATCACATGTGATGTAATAATAGTATCACATGTGATTGTCTATATTAAAAGGGTGTTCTTGCATTTTCGTAAAATGAAAGTATTCTCGTTTGAACCATTTCCTCTATATATATATATATATATATATATGTGTGTGTGTGTGTGTGTATGTGTGGTAGTACTACGGGTATTGTTTTCGCATAAAATAAATAATTTAAAACCTACTTTTGAAATGTAAAATTTTATAACTATAAATGTGAATGAGAAGCAAATTCATGATTTACTTTAAGGTTATGTGTAACAAACTAACTGATAAGTTAACTAATATTTAAGAATCTAGTTGATGAAGTAAATACGTTTGTTAAAACTAAATGATAAACGAGTTGAGAAATGTAAAATGTTTAAAAATGACATGTTTTAAAAAATTAATAAACTTTAACATTTCATAATATATTAAAACAATTCAATAATAATATAGTATGTTAATTACATATGATAAAAAATTAAATAATATATATGGTAGTTAATAGATTTCATTTTGACTATCATTATTATATATATTTAAAAAAAATTGAATTTGAACTACAAAGATGGTGTCTGATTGGTTTGAGCTTGACTCCAAAAGTCAAAAATACCAGGAGGTCTCAGGTTCAAATCCAATAAGAAATAAAAATCCTCTTGTGGCCACGGAGGTTCAAATGCGGTGTTGGATGGTTCATTGTATGTAATATATAGATATGCCATTTATCTTTTGATTAAACTACGATTTTTGTTTATGCGGTATGTTATGTATTATGACTTTCATTTACGTGAATTCAAAATTACAGTCTTCATTCATGTCGTTTACAATTTATTGTTGTTCCGTTTATGAGGCTAACTTGTTTATATAAGGTACGGAAACAACCAGGCGCGTTTCTAACGTTTTATAGGCACCGGGATTTTACTGCAAAACATCAAACTTTTGTATACAAGAAATCTTTTATATTCTAATAAAAAAATAGAATTCATGCACATAAAACATTCAAAATGATGAAGAATATATCAAAATTTAACTTTTTACATATATTATTTTTGTAATATAATTAATTAATAAATATTTGAATCCTTAATATAATACGAAATTCTTTTTGGCTTCTATTAGATACCAAAAGATTTTGTCCCCTTTTATTTACTAATTTTTTAACTACTATTATATATTAAAAAAATGGATCCCTATTTCTTATGGACCCTCGACGTGCTCAGGCCGTCCTCCCTAAAGATGGCCCTGAAAACAAAAATGAATTGTGTAACTATATAGACAAAAAAAAAAAAAAAACGAATGAGTTAGGTTCCAACGAAGGGAAGTTATGGTAAAAAATATAAGAAGAGATCTCCACTCTTGGATCAATCATAGTTGAATATCAACATTAGTGAGGTGCACTAAGATGCACCAGATCAATGGCCTTCTAAAGTGCATCATGAATGGATATTAGATTAAAAGTGATTAAGGGTTCAGATTCTGTTCACGCTTCTCACACGATTCTTTGCATATAAATGATAAGGATGAAAAACTTAATTTTTTTAATCGAAGAAGAATCGTGTAGAAGTGTGAGAAGAGATCTGGACCCTTGATCACATTTAATCTCAAACTCATCCATGAATCGCTTGATACAAGGATTGCTCCAATGTATCTCGATCTTGATGCATCTACTTCTAATGTGCATCCAAGGACAAATATCCTTATTATATTTCTCACTGAAACCCTACCCTTTTTAACCTCCTTTTATTTTTACAAAACTGATCGACAAGAAATCATGTGGTTGATTTTGTTGACATAGGACTACACAAAAAACTGTCAAATCGCTCCACTCATCCAACCTAATAAACCCAACCGTCATTAAATCACCAAACCCAACCGTTAATTAAGAAAGTTAAAACTAACCTAAACCCAACCCAACCCAACCCAACCAAATAAATTTTACTTTAATAAATATAAAATTCGTTTCATATATACTATATTATAAAACATTTGACAAAAACTTTTAATTTTTTTTATGCATAAAGTACTGTATATTGATGCATATTATTTAAAATTTAAAATTACAAGTAAAATATGCATAAATACAACTTATTAAAGCTCGATGTTTGAATTCGAACAACTAATTGCGGATAAACATGATCAAATAGAGGATAAACAACTCATTTTAAAATATTAAAAATCTAAAATATAATTAGGATAATTATCGAGTTCTAACAACATAATTAATTATTATCTTTATAATAAAATTATATTATTAAACTAAATATAAATTATTTCGTTATTGTACCTAAATTAAATTATAATAAAAATATTGAATTAAAAAATTACATAAAAAATGATGAATTCTAAATAGTTAATTTAATACTGATACCGATATATTGTTGTCAATTTTTTATGATATCTTCAAATTTATATTTTATTCAAAAATAAAAACATCATCGTTTTCTCAAAATCACATAAGACTATATTATAACATCGATGAAAATAAATAATAAAATAAAATACTAAAATCAAGATACCATATTATAACATCGATTAAAATAAAAAATAAAATAAAATATTAAAATCAAGATGTATGTCGTTGTATTAGAAGTGTATCATTCTAATTTTTCTACAATTTGTACAATTTTAAAATAAAATTCCAATTAATTTTGGTCCACTCTCTTCCATCACCATGAGAGGCTAAATATGCCATGACAGCCTCTTCATATTGCAACAAATTTTCTAGAGAGAGAATTAGGTTTTTCTGCTGCTATTTTGTTTTACACAACGGTGAAGAAGATGCAGGGTGCTGCGATCTTGAGCCATCCGTCCTGTTCATACGTCTCTAGGCCACAGCAACAAACCCTAGATTACCCATCATCGCTTTATGCTTCTTCTTCTTCTTCCTCTTCACCTACGCCGCTTTTCTCCAGGGTAGATTTTAATATTATTAATCTTTATGTTTCCTTATGCACAATTCTTGACTTCTTTGCTGGCTTTTAATTGTTGAACGATTGCAGATTTCTTCTGGTGTTTTGGGCAATCAATTCTCTTTTGCAAGGGGCGGTTCTAGGTCAGCAAAAATTCGATTTTCATCATCAACCCGTTGGAAAGGTATGATTTTGCGTCTGCTTTTGTGATCCCTGAAGATATTGTTATCTATGAGGTAGTGGTTCGGAATTAGAGTTGTAGCTCATCTAATTCAAAATTTCCGTTGCTTTTGCTCCATTCTAATTTCAGTTTTTTGGAATTAAACATGTCTAGGATCTTGTTCGAAAGCTTGGGTTTGAAGTGCTAACTTTTGAGTTGGAATCGAAGTCCTCTTAGTTATAAATTTTGGACCAAATTCACGGGAGTTTCTGTTTGGAGCCATGGAATGGAAGTTCCTATGCACCCTAGATGATAAGGCAATTAGAGATATGATACCAGTAAACATTCACATATCAAACAAACATAGACGATAAGAGTATTAGAGATGGTGATGGTCTCATGGGCAATTCTTAGAGTGAGTGAGTAAAACATCCTCAGCACTTTGCTTGGCAGTCTTTGTATATTATATGCAAGGATACTGGTTGATAATTTGCTGTAAAGGCTCACTTAAGACCATAATTTCATTGATGCATATATGAATTATAAGCTGAATGGTGTGTCCCTCTTGGCACATGACGGCTGGTAATTCGCTCAGTAGTAGAGCACTAGAGCCTTGTCGTTGTTAACGGCAATTTACTACTAACAAACTAGTAGTAAGAGCATATGGATATACTAAGATTTAGAAGATGCAAGTTAGATGGTTCAAAAATCTCATGATATGCACATGGGATCTGAATACAAGAAATTAACAATCTAACAAGTCTAATCCTGCATTTTCTTGCTAGACCTTCAGATACCGGCAGGAAGGTTATGATTTGGAAGTGTTAAATTATCTCTTCCCACTCTTTTGTTCCTGCAAAAGTGGCTTATAAATTGAATCAGATGCTAGAACATGAGTAGTTGCATCTAATTTGCAAGAATTTATGGTATTTACTGTTTGAATCTCATGGTTAAAGTAAATTCTTACTTCATACATGTGGTGTTTCATGGCAACTTGTTACAGAACATGATATGCTCGGATGAGCAATGAATAGTTGAGACATTTCCAAGATTGTTAATGTAATAAGTTATAAGTTATTCTCCAATAGGTGTCAAAGACAAAATACTTTGTGTGTGTGTGTGCACGTTAACTTAAATGATCAAGTAAACGTATGAAATTGGTGCATCTGACATCCAATAGAAACCGAGCATATTCAATATTCGTGCTACTCAAGGAAGGATTGAAGGAATATAAGATCTTCAAGATGGCTAGATTTGGTTTTGTTGGTGATTTTAGTGAAATTGTCGGTTCATTTTGTGCAATTGGATTCACAAGAGAATGTGGGGTTGTTAGTTAAGTTATAACACGGCTTAGGAGGTGTGGAGTACACATTCGTGTAAGCTAACTAGAACCCGGGATTGTTGGATGCTTTTGTATAGGGAGGGTTTAAGTGGTAGAGGGCAGTGCACGAGCGTGTGTTTTTGGTCATCAGAAGAGAAGGGCCATGCTTTGATACCAAAGGCTGTGCACGGGCTGTGCGTTTTTACACATGGAACACGCTTAGGTTGTGCGTTTTTCATCAGAAGGTTATCAGCTCTATATAGCTGATGGTGCACTAGCCAGCTGATGGTTCTGTTATGTTCAGCTAGCTGATGGGTCTATCAGTTGATGGTTCGGCTAGACGATGGTTCATTTTTGTTTAGCTCGTTAATGTTCAGCTAGCTGATGGCTGAATAGTGTTCAGCTTTGCTTAAGGATTGCCCTTCGTGTTCAGCTCTAGGTAGCTAATCATTGGCCATTAATTTGTACTTGCCTTCTCTGTAACTGCCCATTCCTTATTTCAAGAAATCATTTCCATTTAATGGGGAGTTATTCTTGGCATTAATATAGGAGTGGTTACAGCTCTCTAAGTTTAAAAGGGAATGATTTCTGCCACAGTAGGGACTGACGATTTGAGTTTCGTGATACCCAGGCTGATTAGGGTCGAAATATCACTTAAGGGAAGCGAGCTCTCACGCGTCTCAAGTTTTATCCAAGTTTCTTGGGACTCATTGTTTTCTCATATTTTCTGGAATTGCTCCAACAGGTTCATTGGAATGAAAGTATTAAAGCCGGTTAAAAGATTTCTGGCAGGCATAGTTGATGATGACAATGAGAGATGACAAGGAGAGTAGGAAGAGTGTCAGTTGAGGGGATGAGGAGGAGGGAAAGGCCGAGGAGGACATGGGATGAGCAATTGAGGATGAACATGGCAGCCTTAGACATTTTCTAGAACATAACATCAACCTCTGATAGGAGTACTTGGAGACGAAAGACTAGGGTACCAAACTAGATGTGGGACCTTTAGCTAGCGTGGTCGGGCAGAAGAGAGTTGAAGAGGTTGGGGGTAGAGTGCCTGCAATTTAGGTTAGGGTTGCAGTTTTGCCTTTTGCTCTGTCTGTATTCTTCTTTACTTGCTCTATTTGTTTTGTCCTACGTAGTGTATCTTCTCAATATACCTACTTGTTATCTTTTTTATTGTATTTCTCATTCTATGTTCACCATGGGCTAGTCTTTGCTTCCTCTACAAGTTTGCTTGCACTTCTGCACAAGCCGGGGGTCTTCATGGAAACAGCCGCTCTACTCTTTGGGGTAGAGTGTCTGTATACACCCCCCAAAAAAAACACTGCTTTGAGTGGGTTTTGCCGGGTCAATTTGTTTTTTTTTTTTTATAGTTATTGATGACACTAGGAAAACTTGTTTCCATTTTTACTTGATATAGCAGGAACTCTTATAAATGCTCGTGTGGCGTGATAATCATTTTGCCGTAGCTAACCTTTAATCACCTGTTGCAGTTGTGAAGGCTGTCGCTACTCCAGAATCGGCTGTTGAATTACCTCTTACAGCAGAGAACATTGAGAGTGTATTGGATGAAATTCGACCGTATCTGATTGCAGATGGAGGAAATGTTGCATTACATGAAATAGATGGAAACATTGTTCGCTTAAAACTGCAAGGGGCTTGTGGTTCCTGTCCAAGTTCTGTAACCACCATGAAATTGGGCATTGAACGCCGTTTGATGGAGAAGATCCCTGAAATTGTTGCAGTCGAACCAATCCCAGATGAAGAAACTGGCCTTGAGCTGAATGAAGAAAATATAGAGAAGGTATTTTTCACCAGTGAGTTTGATTTGCAATAAACAGGATACAGGTTGGATGGAGCTAATTGCTCATGTCAGACTATTGTAGGTTTATGTGTGTGTGTGTGTGTGTGTATATATATGTTGAAAAATGTTGTTTCTTGATCTGATTCTGTAAGTATACATATTAGGTGTTGGAAGAAATAAGGCCATATCTTGTTGGGGCAGCAGGCGGATTGGTAGAACTGGTGTCAATCGAAGAGCCAATAGTGAAACTACGGTTGACAGGTCCAGCAGCAAGTGTAATGACGGTAAGAGTAGCACTGACTCAAAAACTCCGCGAAAAAATACCCGCTATAGCTGCCGTTCAGCTTTTACAATAGATGCTGTGTAAGATCTTGGAACTAAAGGAATCGGTTTCAAACTCCAGGGATCTCCTTTTCTACAGTATACCTGTACATTTTTTAGCTGTGTGTTGATATGAGAAATTAGGCAGCTACATTTGTACCTGTATCGAATAACTAATCACAGTAGATTTGCCTTGTAATAATATCTTTCCAGCCTCGCCTCCGAGTGGGATATACGATTGTTATGAATCCACATCCGTACAATTTCGTTAATTTTTATTAATATAAAATACTTGAATACAGAGATATATACAATTTTAATCTACTTCCTGATTTTATCATAAATTTTTTTTAAAAAAATGTTGCCCTGTCGGCTGTCGCTACAAACTCGTATGTAAATGGTATGATTCAAACCCGGGTTGATTTTTGTCGATATTAATTCCAGGTATTTTATTTGCTATTTTCAAACTTTTAACTACCAAATTATAATTTTAAACAATTATAAGTAGTTTCATCTGGTTAATCTTTCATTTATCATTACTATTGCTTCAATAATTTCTCAACTAGTTGCATATTACACACGAAACACAAAATCATCGTCACCAAAGTTGATTGCATTTCGTACAACGACAAAATTGAATTACAAGCAAAATCACGAGTCTCATACAAGTATAAAAATAATAATGTTCAGTAACAATTGTGCCTTGATGAATCTTGAAGCTTTCTGTTTTTCTTTCTTTGGAAATCTAATGGCAGAAGAGTTTGATTATGGAATCAGCTCCTGCAGTGAACAACCATGGCTGTCTTGGGTGGAACTTGCAATCCAACACACCTGATAACACATCAAACAACAACAAATCAGCTTAAATTAAATGTTTCGTGTTAAATAGCACTGATGCACACTTTCAGGTTCTGCAGGTCAGAAACCTACATCTATGTGGGATATGAATCATTTGATATACGACCAAGGATCGTATGAGAACAGGAGTTGTGAGAAGCGTAAGAATCAATTTGGACCCTTGATCTCTTGTAATCCCAAAACAATGCATGAATTGCGCTTTAGAAGAGAATTTTTCTAGTGGTACTCTTCAATTATGATTGATCCAAGGGTGGAGATCCTTTACCCTTCTCACTGTAACTTCCATTCTCACCGGAACCTAACCCTATGATATACAGGGTTCGTTTGGTTTTGTGTTCTTCTGGAGATTCAAAACATCATACTCCCAAAATTTAGAAACTGACATAGAATTTCTTTTTAGTTTTTATCTCAAAAATGTTTTTATTCTAATGCTTAAGAAACACTGGGGGCAGCTGGTCTAATGGTGAATGTGTGTGAAGAGAGGATGCCACCCACAAACAGGACTGTCATTTGTGCATGGTCAAAACCACACCACAACCTCTAACTTCTATATACTTGACCATCAAAAGTCCAATGTGGACTTCTATCATTATTGTTTGTTTTTTCTTTTTATTCTTTTTAGGAGGGGGCAATATAATCAAATGTGCAAAGATGTGCTCGTAAAGAGTCATTACATCATCAAGTCATAGCCAAAACCAGAATAATGTTGTCACTATGCAAATACGATGTCAAATAATTAGCTTAGTCTAAAAGCAATTATGCAGTTCTAGATCCTAAATCATTTATGACGAAGGATCATGTAAGAACAAGAGTTAAGGTGAGGAGCGTAAGAAGGGATCTGGACCCTCGATCACTTTTAATCTCACCCCCACCCCATGAATTGCGCTTGATACAAGAATTGATCTGCTGCATCTCCGTGCATCTCATTACTGTTGAACTTCAATCAGGATTGATCTAAGAGTGGAGATCCCTTCTTACCCTTCTCACCATAACTTCCATTCTCACCGGAACCCAACCCTATCATTTCTATGATGTTCTAAAATTACGCTAAAATCTCAAGTATGCCAAGAACTAACCTCTTCCATTTGCGCTTGCATGGCCATGAAGTATCTCCAAAGGAACAATAAGAGGGTTCTGATTTAAATCTGAATACACCATGCCATGGAAAACATACGCTGTGCAATCATCAGAGCATGATGCAAACAAAGGATAGGTGCGATGGAAGGCCACATTTGTTATGTCTTTTGGGTGAGACCTGCATTAACATGAGACGATCACAAAAAGCAGAAATGTAGATAGATATACATAGTCGATCCAAAAACACTTCAGACCATGCAGCTTTTATGTGACGAAATATCTACTGATTTTTACTAATGGATAATTTGAGGGAATGGTAGCATTTACATACTTGAGAATTTTGTAAGGTTTTGATGAAAGATCCATGTCAAACCAACATAATTTTCCATCCTTGCTCCCAACGATAACATTATCACCTGCAAGGAGAGAATACCGTTTACATTGCATGATTGTGGGTCAACAAAATTTTTTCATTGATTACCATTATAGTTTTCACTAAGAGCAGTTAGAGATAGAATAATAAACCAGGAGAAGAAACATACCACCCGGATGAATGGAGATCGATGAGATTTCACGAACCCCAGCTTCAAGCTTCTTGATGAACTTCTTTTTCACCAGATCATAAACACGAACATTCTTTTTTGTTGAAACAAAGAAAATTGATCGTGTGGGATGGAAAGTTGAAGAGACAGGAAGACCATGCAACTTAAACGGCAATCTTTGTGTAAGTTTCTTTGAGAGCAAGTGTATTAGCACAGCTTTTGATTCACGTAAGAAGCAAGTCAAGGTCTAACAATTCAGTGGTTAGACAAAATACAAAGCCAGCATAAGGAGAAACTGTAGCAGAGAGCTCTTGCAGAGTCGATAGTTCAACTTAACAGGAGAAAAAGAAGTAAAAAAAGATTCATGGTACTCCAATTTTCACAAATAGATTTCAGATGACTTGTCACCTAGAAACAAGATAGGTATAGGAAATGTGCAAGCATACAAAAATCGAAAAACAACCAAGGATATCAGCAGGCATGACAGTAGAGAAATAGTCTCCTTTTCGATGCCATTCCACCGAAGATACAGTCTGCAATGATGAACAAACATGTGAAGAAGTTCAAAACTTAAGTTCTTCATCTTCCTTTGGAAATGAAGTGATAGTGACAGGATAGAAGTACCTTAAAGTGTTTGATCCTGATTCCCTCGTATCTTTCACACTGAGACCAGCTTACAGCAGATGCCATGCTTTCTAAAGAAAGCACAAAAACCAGTAGTCAAGTAAAGTTGATCTATAAGAAAGGCCAAATAAAGCAGTCAACAGACACTAACCAGAATCATCTTGGGCAGTGGAAGTTTCAACATGCAAAAGGTCTGCAATCATCTTATGTTCTTCTTTCTCAATCCCAGTGTTCAGAATAAAAACATCTTGTCCCCTGCAAATAGTTTATACATACTGTCATTCAACCTTTAAAAATACAGACATAAACAAGAAAAAATTATCAGTGAATTAATGCATCAGTCTTACATGGAGACTGCCAGGATAGGAAGCTCCGGTAAAGGATTCCATGCAACATGATGCACAGGTTCACCTAGTTCCCATATCTTGATACATCTACCAGTTTCAACCTCCCAGATACGAACTGTTCCATCAAGTGAGCCTGCATTGATCACAGACAAAGAAGTTTTACAAATACCCAAAAGCATGCCTATAAATTAAAAAAAAATCCTTGATCTAATATAAGTTACCAGAAGCAATATACTGCCCTGAGGGGTCAGTAGAAAGTGATTTAACTGGACCCTTATGGCCTTTGTACTCGAGATAACATGTTGTTGGGTAAGGTTTAAGATCTTTGCGACTTGGAAGCTTGGGTTTCAAGGATTCGGGATCGATATTAATCTGAAACATCAATGAAGCTTCATGTCATACTAGGAAAACATAAATATAGTTGGTAGTTGTATGGAATTTTTAATAGATAAACTGATAAGCTGGTACTTGTGCGACATGGAAATATTTATTTTGACAACACTTACACGCTTTTTTCGTGCCCTGGGGCACAAGTACAAATCTAAACAACGATCAAAAGATTCCCTAACACTCTTTTCATAAGCAGGAACACTCCTCAAAGATGTGAACCTAAATGATTGGCAGATGTAGATATATTAGTACATATATACTGCAAGTATAGCAAGAGCCACAAAGCGTGAGTCAAATTGTTGGTTGTGCACAGCAAATTACCGCTTTGGAATAAACTTAGGCCGGTCTTCCTCAAACATAAGCTGATAAGCACTAATCTCTTCTTGTGTTGGAATGTATTCCAAAGAAGGATTATAGGATTCCTCATGCCCTGAAGATAAACAGACAGATTGTAATTTTTTGGTTATACATAGAAAACATTATGCAATGAATCTTGTAATAGATAAATACAGACATGCAAAAGTCAATTAGAACAATTTAGAAAGTAGCAGACAAGAAACTCAAACCTGGCAATTTAGGTTTGGGTGCAGGTATATATGATAATCCATGTCCTGCCTTCTCTGTTGAGCTAGATTCATCACCCCATAAGTTATAGAAACGGGGTTCTTCTTTTGGCTTGTCAAACGTTATCAGTCCCTTTCTGATTGCCCTGATATACCTAACGACCTGAAGTAAAAAAGTCAGAAGATGAGTGGATTGGATATGTTTTAGTTTCTACAGAGGAACAAACCTATAGCTCAGTAAAGTAAAAGTTGGCTCCATTGCAAATTTTATTCCTTAAGCACGTTCAATTAGGCAACACTAAACAGAAAAGAAACAACAAGCAAATCTTTACAGGAACTTCCCAAGTCCAGTAATCAAATTGTTCAAGCATAAACAAAATAACAAATATGACCATATCCATGAGTAATAAACATATAACCTCTCAGTAGAAAGAAACAGCGCCCTTGCCTATTGTGAAATAGCTTAGTAACAAACAAAAAGAACAGAGTATGCTCAGCAACAACTACTCAGTACGCTTAAAAACTACCTACGCATGTCTTATATAAGTATGTTATGGATATAAGTATGTATGTGCAATACCAGTTTCTTTGCTGTTGTTTAACATTCTATACAAGTGAAAGAATTAAAATACAAACATGATTTCTTGCGATATACCTGCAGGTATAGATAGTGAGTCATCAGATTGAGTACCCCACAAATTATGTTACTTTTGTACCAATGAGTAATGAGTCAAACCAATGTGTCCAACCTGGTCCGTAGCAAGATCATTGAACATTAACAATCAAGGCAAAGAATGTCACCGGACAATACTTTACTTCCCAAATATTATTATAATGTAGAAAAATGCCATACTCATGCCATAACATACTCAAACGAAAGGTACCAATCACTAACTTTTTCTTAAACTAATAAAAAAGGAATAATAATAATAAATAATAACCAAGTTCAACATGCACTATACAAACCATGTTTCTTCTTAAGCAGCATATGTCACAGTATTAGTTACCTTTTTGCTTTCCCATTTTGAAGGAATGAAGCGCCTCTTTGGTTCTGGGGCATTTGAGAGTGGATGCTTAGCACCATCCCATGCAAACCAATCAATATAAGGCTGCAAATGGATTAAAAATTATGAGAATTGCGATTGAGAAAGGTAAAGATCCCTCAAATGCCGTTCAAAATATGTTGACATGAAAAAACAAAAAAGCAGCCAACCGCATGTGGATCAAAGTCTGCATGAGGCGCTTGTCCTTTCAACAATCTGCGGATAAGCTTAGTTTCTTCTTTAGTAAGTTCTACTTCCTCATCCTCAATTTCATCGGTGATCTTGCGCCTAAAAATGTTAAATGAAGACAAAAGAAACGTTCTGCAACTTAGAATTTAAGAATACAAAAAACCCTTTCGACACATCAATTAATTTGGCACGCAGAATTATATACTCATCCAGTCACATGAAAATGAATAGTCCACTAAAAACCATAAGCATTAAGAGATTGAACCATTTTCTTCAACTATCTCTAGAGAAAATCGTCGCTGTCCCTAGCTTGCCAGTCACTCAAATACTGCATAATCTCACAAAATTATCAATCATTAGAACTCTAGGGGGTCACTGACCTCAAATGCATTGTTCTCGGCTGGTCTCAGTCTGTTCTCTTGGTTCTAACCATTCCATATCATCAATTTTCAGAGGTTTCAACAAGTTTAGAATTTTGATTTGAGCAGATTTCAGTAGATTCAGCAAACAATGCAGTGAGTGGAGTCTCTCAGATTCATTTGGTCATTGGTTGTGTATTGAGATGAGCCCATTATAGGTTTCAAAAGCTAGTTGATGATATGACTGCAGACATCAAGGTTGCATCAACTGCGTTTCAGATAATTTTTTTTTCTTATGATATCGGCTTTATCAGGTTTGATTTTGAGTCACTCTTCATGCATCAAAAGAAGATGATGCTTCTTGGTAGCTCAGCAGTGGAGTCATGGTGGTGATTAAGTGATGGAAGCTGTAAGATTGAAGCAATGGCTAGGATTTTTATTAGGTTCTTTTGTCTCGGTTTATATATTTCAGCTTTATTTGTGTTAATGTATTTGCATCCGATTATGTGTAGTCAGTTGTTTAGTAAGTTACACATCTTCAGGTCCTTTCAGGTTCAGGTTCAAGCTCGTTTAGTATCTCAGATGGTCCTCAATCAGGGGATTCTCAATTGGGGTTGTGGTTCTCAATCAGTTGGTTTCTCAGTTGTATGTGGTTTAGCTATTCTATATTGTCCAAGTATATTTAGTCTTTCAGTTAGATAAATTTGTTGAATGTTAAAGAAATCAAACTATTTATGATGTCCAAGCAAACAAACATTTAGCTAGTAAAAAAATAGCAGTAGGAAAGCTAATAGTTCTGTGAAATAAATCTCCAACTCACCAGCTATTGGAGTCATCAGTTCTAGCTAAGAATGAATCCAATTTATCAAGTCTCTCCTTCTTCTTGATTTTCTTTCCAGCAACATCATATCCAATATGTTCCTCCTCCTTGTACCACTCTAACGGAACATCCCCAATAGTGTTCCGAGGACCAACCTATTACAAAAGATTAACATGAGAACCACACTAAAAATGTATCAGAAACAAATATATAAAAGAAACTCCCTGGGAACATAGATGTCTTGGCTCGTGTATTCTCTTAAACAAAAATAAGCAAATAATATGTCTTTCGTTGCATGGGTTTCACCAAATACAATTCTGTTTCAGACAAAAAGAAGGTATGATATACACCTCATCTTCTGATGAATCACTCTCATCAACTACTTCACGAGAATCATCACTTGCACTTTGATCTCCTTGATTAAGATCATCAACTCCATCACTCAAGCCACCTTCATTGCTTGGGTTTTCACCATCCTGACATTATAACAATACAAATAAGTAAAAATTATTTTTTTTGCATGCCGGTTTATTTGGTAAGAATTACTTCAAAAGATTTCCAAAGAAAGCAAGAAAATTTTTCTATATTGTAAAACTTATCAATGTGAAAAAAGAGTACCACCGTGAAAACATAGAACTAAAAAAAGATGGAGAGGTAGATAGACTGTAAGTAAATATCACATTTATGCATGTCAAGTCACTGATAATGTTGGCTTCAAAATTTTGCAAGAGCAAGCCCACAATTTTGTAAACTGTAAAATTCTTCAATTTGATAGGAACAAAGTAAAAAAAGATCTTTACAAACCACTAAACAGGTAATTACCATGTACCTCATCTTCTGAGAAGTCACTATGTTCGGACCCTGATTCTGATTCCGAATCTGAATTCCTTGAAGAATCATCGCCCTCAGAGAAGCTCTGGAATCAGACACACCATGTTAGAAAGAAGAACAATGATACACACTCGTAATTCAGTTTTTGCAACATGATTATAACTTCAAGGTGCATATATCGATAGCAATGTAGCTGAACTCAAAAGCAGTCAATCTAAATTTTCAAATGGAATTTTTATAAAGTAATGTAAATCATTATAGTGATAATTCTATTCTCCTACAGGTTAATTGTGCACAAAAAAATCTTCATATTCATGTCAGACATTTACCATGAGGAGATTTAAGTGTCCAGTATGCCACCTACTGACTATTTAAAAGAATTAAACATGTTTTGATAATTGGTCTTGATTTAGTACAAGAATCTCAAATTTCAACAACAATTAAATGACAATGTCTGTTCTTCTTATATGTTCTTTGGTTAAGCAACAAACGGTAGTTTGTATAAATGTCAGCTATATATTAGAATAACTCCATTATTACTGTAAGTGACACCCATATTCAACCAATTGCCGCATGCTTTCCCCAATTCCAACCATAAACTTGACAATCTTTTAGTTGCTTTGCGCCATCAAGCTCTTAATTTTCTTATACACAATAAAATTCTCTATAACTGTGCATTCTAATTATCAAAATAAGGTTGAAGAATGGACATACCTCGTCATCATCAGACACAACAGGACTTTCTACACTACCGTCTTCAGAATCACTCGGAACTTCACTTCCGTTCACAACAACCTCTTTCTCTATTGGTTTCAAATCATCGTCCTTGAGTTTCTTCCCATCCTTCCGCATCTTGTGGCTGCCTGTATCAATCAAAAGACCCTATCACAACTGAGCCGGTCCTTATGACGAACAGAACACAGGGCGTCGGAGTTGCCGGCGGGAGGTTGTGAGGAAGCCAAGGGTTTTAGAAGACAGGCCCAGAAAGGGTGTTGCCCGTTGAAAAGCCCTAAAATTCATTTTATTGGTAAATAATTTACGTTTTCGCCCCTAAAGTTTTGGAATTATCAATTTTAACCATATACAACATTTGGATTCGGATCTACATGTGTATTTTAAGTGATATAATGCAAATAGGAATGATGATTTGCCCTGACCCGGTGGGGAACTCGGTTCACCCGACTCAAACGAGGACGGAGATTCCCCTCTAAAACGGGTTTCGGGGCCGGGGCCGAAAATCCCCGGTAGAATCAAACTAAGGGATGTTCTTCATGGGGTTTGACCGAGTTTTAACCGGTGATTGATAGTGGTTTGACCGGGGACGAGATGTTAATCCCCGTACCCACCGGGAGACCGGGGTCGGGGGATGTTACTACAAACCGGGCAGGGGTCGGGGATTACAAAACCCGCCCCGTTGCATGCCTAACTGCAAAACATGATTATTGCGCTTCAAATAATATTCTAGTGTTTTGGTAAATTTAAGTTTGATTTTTGGCTATAAAATTATGCATTAATTATTTTTAACCTTAAATACTATCTTATAACTGATTATCTGATTTTGATTTTTACACATCGTAATAATCATGCAAATTATAAACCACCAAATGACTAGAATATTTTGAGATTGGACTCGACGTTTTAATATAGGGGTTTAGGGTTTGACGGTTATGTTATATGAGTATCTTGGTTGGTATTGCTAGATGATTTGATCCTTAATTTTGACATAGCATATGGGCTACAATTAGTTTTTATTCGGTCGTCATAGCAAATGTATAAACTGATAAATGTGACACAAACTACAATGGTCGTTTTCAAGTAGTAAAATGGTAAAAATACGAAGATCGTATCCACAAGGATTGGTCTTTAAAGTTTCGAGTACTAAGTCGAGAATACACTAATTTCAATTAGAGAAAAATAAAATATTTTGAGTGAGTTGGGTGCTTTTCTAGATTAATTAATAACAAGTAATAAAAAAGTAGGCATGGGTGCAAGTTTTTCGCTTTTAAGAGTATAGTAGCAACAATATAGTTGAAAGAACTAACCAAGAAATAACTCATCAGGGTCTCTTTCTATGGAAAGTAAATCATGATGAACTGTGGCCATTGTCCAGTCAGAAAGTGGCTACAATTGCTAACTTTTGGTTTGCCAACTTTAATAATAGATATCGGAAATCTGAGTTCAACCAATATGGAGAAATGCGCATATTTCTATGACACAACAACTCGACCGACATATGTTGAATCTTAGTGAAAGTTATGCAAAAACCTATATCTCTATGTGATTGTTGAAGATTTTCTCAAACTTCTTTGCATCATTCAAGTCGTATTCTAAATCCGTCCATCTATGTATAAGATCTAATATTAACACACATAATTGGTTGATTTGTTCGTGTGAGATAAAACTTCAACTTGAGTGACCAAACAGAAAAGTTAGCGTAAAGCAGTAACACTCAAGTGTTACATACTGCCTCTTAGGTTTGGCTTACACCCATACCTAAAAAAGGGTTTAGCTATTTCTTAAAATAAAAAGCATAGTATTGTTAAAAGATATGACTTTTCTAAATCAATCTTTACTTTTGTTGTATTTTTGTCAGCTATAAAGATAAAGGACTGAAGCTGTAATAAAGTGAAAGTTGTTAGTTTGAAGTGAGGGACCGCGCCTCGTTTTCTGGAGAACATCAGGGATAGCGGAGTACTTTTCATCATTCTTGGAGGACCGAAATTGCAATTATCGAATTTATATATAAGTTGTGGTTTTTAGGTTTTAGCTCACAACTTGCTTTCATTTTTCTCTCTAGAGTTTATTCTTAGATTAATTTTCTCTCAAACACTTTGTTATTTCATATTCTTGTTAACCATTTTGGTTAATAACTTTTAGATCTAAGGTTCTTTATCTTACACATTTGTATTGTAATAGTTGATAGTATTGAATAAACATTTGGTTTATGTTTTTGTTCATGGTATCAGAGCCTCATTAGATCTGTGTTTTGTCTTTCATAAAGTGTTTGTGGTTCATCTTCTGTTTCACCAAGGTTTGGCACAAAATGATCAGGTAAGTTTTCTTTCCTTCTTCTTCTTGTTAAGTCGAGTAAGTGCTCATATATGTATCTGGTTACATAGATCCTTCGAGATCTTACTTTGACCAGGTCCGATTAATGAAATACTCGGTGTTCATATGCTGTATTGAAATAATATTGTCGGTTAATATTTTATTCAGTTTGGGTGAGTAGATGAACGGTTCCTTTGTGTCTCGGGTTACGAAGATCTTTCTAGATCTCGTTCATCGGTCCAAACCGTGATATTCACAATTTTTTGTTCTTATGTTGTATTGAAATAATCTTGTTGGTTAATATTTCATCTAGTTTGAGTGAGTAGATGAACAGTTTTTTGTATCTCGGATTACGAAGATCCTTTTAGATCTCATTTACCGGTCCAAATCGTGATACTCATCTTGTTGTTTCAAGAATTCTTCTGTTATCCAGTGTTGCATGTAGCTCTCTGGTTCTTTTTTTGCCTTTTTAGGTTTATGGTTTGATAAAGGAATCTGTGTTGATTCATAATCTGTTCATTACTTCTTTGAGTAGATGAACAGTTTGTTTTGTCTCAGCTTGCAAAGATCTTTTAAGATCTTGTGCTACTGGTCCAAACTGTGATATTCTTGAGTTTGGTTCTTGATGTTCATAATTTTTTTTCGTTTCCTTGAAATATATGATCAGGATTCAACTGAGTTGTGAAGATTTGTTTAGATCTCATTGTACTAGTCTAACAGTGACCATTTTTACAGTAGGAGAGAATGTTTCTTCATAATCAAAACCTTCTATAGTGGTAGGTCAATGGAATCCAAAGTAACTAGTTTAGACTTTGCCACTTTGGAGACCCTTTATACCTTCACCCAAGTGATACTAGTGGAACCCCCTTGTTGACTGTTAAACTGTGTAGTACTAATAATTACAAAGTCTGGGCGTGTGCTATGACATTAGCGTTAGAAACTAAGAATAAGGTTGGGTTTATTGATGAAACTTGTCCCAGACCTATAAATGATCTTGTATTGGAAAGACAGTGGGATCGATGTAACTCAGTGGTCCTGTCTTGGATTCTGAGTTCAATGACAAAGGATCTCTTTCTAGGACAAGTGTTCTCCAAAGAATCCTCAAAGGTTTGGGATGAATTAAAAGAGACCTATGATAAAGTTGATGGTTCTGTTATGTTTAATCTTCATCAGAAAATCAATTCCTTAAGTCAAAATGGAACTTATGTGTCTGAATACTATCATAAACTCAATTCTTTGTAGAAACAATTTGATGCTCTTGTTAAACTTCCCCCTTGCACGTGTAATGCTTCTCAATTTTTTTTTGAACATACTCAACTCATTAAACTCACGCAATTTTTAATGGGCTCAGATGACATTTATCAACCTATTAGAAGCAATATTCTCACCAGGGATCCCTTTCCTTCTATAAAAAACTGCTTTTTCTCTAGTCTCTGGAGAAGAGTCTCACAGGGGGTAATGTGTCTCAGACTCGACCCAAATCCAAGAACACTACCTTCCTTAGCAAGACCATAGAAAACAAGCATAAAATTGGTAGAAATTCTACCCTTAATTGCAAACATTTTGGGGCCTCTAGACATATTATTGAAAGGTGTTTTAAACTCATATGATTTCCCAATAACTTTCAAAATAGATCCAGACCTCAAAAACAGAATTTTAAAAATACTGTGAATAATGCTTGTGTTACTGAGTCTGTGCCTACTAAAATTGTTCAAACCTGCTCTTCATTTTCTTTTTTTGAAGATCAGATCACCAAAATTCTTGGATTAATTGAGCAAAAACCACTATGTGAAAGTGTCTCTGCTAACATCGCATGTATTTTTAAATCTCACAATTCTGGTTGGATCATTGACTCTGGAGCAAATCAACATATGACTCACAATACTAGCTTACTTAATAATATAGTTGATATCTTCGAGCTTGATCTCAGAGTTAGTCACCCAAATGGAACCAAAGCCAAAATCAATAAAATTAGAGATTTTAAGTTGTCAAATAATGTAACATTATTTGATGTGTTGGTTGTTCCATATTTCAATGTTAACCTATTATATGTGCATAAACTTGCTAGGGACGATAAAGTGTTTGTTGGTTTTGATGAATTGAAGTGTTATGTCCAGGATTCGCTATGAAAGAATGTAGTGGGGACTGGTAGTCAAGAAGGGGGTCTGTATTATTTCGATCAAAGTTTTAACAGTGAGTCTTCTTGTAATTTTCAAGGTTCGAACATTTCTTGCTTAGCTTCTGCCCAATTATGGCACAATCGACTAGGTCACCCTGCTAACCAAGTCTTGAAACTGTTAAAAACTAATCTTAAAATTGATAATGTTGATTGTGGTCCCTGTGACATTCGTCACAAGGCTAAACAAACTAGAGAAAATTTTGAGTCTAGCATTCATAAATCTAAAGACCTAGGTGACCTAGTTTATTTAGACGTCTGGGGTCCTTACCGTGTTCAAAGTAGGGAGGGCTATAAGTATTTTCTTACTGTGGTTGACGATTATACTAGGGTTGTTTGGGTGTTTTTGTTAAAAGGTAAACATGAAGTCGAAGAAAACATTGTTGTTTTTTTATAATCTGATTAGTACCTAATTTGGAAAATGTGTTAAAATATTGAGGAGTGATAATGGGTCCGAGTTTATGAGTAAAAAACTAAGTGAGTTATTTAAAAGTAAAGGAATTTTACATTAGACATCCTGTGTGTATACTCCCCAGCAGAATGGGGTGGTAGAACGTAAACATCGTCATCTTCTAAATGTTGCTAGGGCTCTTATGTTTCAGGGAGGAGTCCCCCTAAATATGTGGAGTGAATGCATACTTACTGCCACATACTTAATAAATAAAACTCCCACTTATGTGTTAAATAGTAAGTGTTCTTATGAATTAGTCTATGGATTCTAACTTGTTCTTGC